TCTGCCCCAACCCCCTACTTGTGCGTGCACGCTCTCTCTCTCTCTCTCTCACTCTCTCTCTGTCAAATAAATAAACTCTTTTTTAAAAAAATCTAATTTTTGTCTCTAAATTTGCCTGCCCTGGACAAATGGAATCCTACAACATGTGGCCTTTTGTGTCTGGCTCCTTTCGCTTCACATAATGTCTTCAAGCGTCATCCAGGATATAACAGGTGTCAGCACTTCCTTCCTTTTCATGGCTGAATAGTATTCCACGATCTGCTTAGGACACATTTTACCTGTTCACTGGTTGATGGACATGTGTCTGGGTTGTTCCCACTGTTTGGCTGTTGTGAATAATGCTGCTAGGAGCACACATGAGCAAGTTTTTGTGTGGACGTATGCGTTCATGTCCCTTAGGCCACACCACTGATTTTTTAAGTGTATAGCTGATCGTGTCACTCCTTTGCTCAAAAACCCTCAGTAGCTTCTGTTGTTTTTAAAATCAGGTTCAAAATCCTTTCCGTCCACAAGCCTTACAGCTTCTGGGCTCTCCCCTTGTTCTATTCCTCAGAGAACCAAGAGGTTCCTCAGACACACAGCGCCTCCTACCTTGGCACAGACCCAGAACCTTCCTCCCCAGCCCTTTGTTGAACCCCCACGCACCCCGAGGTCTCCGCCAAATTACCCTGTGCTCAGGGAAGCCTCTTCAATGCCTCTGACCAGGTTGGGGCCACACGCTCTCCTGGGACTCTTCCATCTCTCTCCTTAGCATGAACCCCAGGGAGAGCCACGTGGTGACTTGTGTGGTGATCTTTGTCTAGTACTTGTCTCTTCTGCCGCCGTGCGCTCCAGGAGAGTGGGGCCCTCGTTGGCATTCAGTGGTCCTTCCTGGCACGAGCCCAGTGCCTGGCACTTGGCGCTCAGTAAATATCGGGCAGATGAGTAACAGGTAATGAGGGCAGCAAACAAATTGCTTGTTTGGAGGCTTTGCCATGGGGTCTCCCTCAGGCAGTGGAGAACACAGGCAGCAGCGCTCACCGGCCTCCTGCCCCCCCAACCCACCTGAGAGACCTCTGCTGAAGTTGGAATGGGCTTGGGGGAACCCCCCCATGTCCTCAAATAACTGGAGCCCCGTCAGGTGCCCACTAGCACGTGGGCTGTCTGTCGGGAAGAGGTAACTCCCCACAGCATAGGACCCGGGGCAGCCCCCCACGCTGTCCACACCGAGGGTTACAGTGGTCCACCTCCAGGGGTGACATGAGGAGGGGGATCCGTGAGGCTGCAGCTTCTGTTACAGCTGGGAGCCCCATGAGCACAGACCGTGTTCCCTTTAGTAAAGATCATTGCCTTTCTACGCGTCTCGTTTGAAAAACTGTCCTTGAGGAAATTGCAAGAGGAAACTGTAGACCTTCTGAGACTTAATTGCTTTTTTCAAAACACCGTGTTTTCATTTCCCCCACAGATATGCACTTATTTGGCCATTATCCCGCACATGACGACTTCTATCTCGTAGTGTGCAGTGCCTGCAATCAGGCCGTCAAGCCACAGGTTTTCCAGGCGCACTGCGGTAAGTGGACCCCCGCACCCCGCCGCACGTTCGCAGCCGCCGCTCCCCCCGCCACTTTGGCCCCCAGACAGGGTCGGCCCCCTGTGCCTGCCTCAGCCCAAGGCGGTGGGGAAACTCTTCCTGCGGCTCTGCCTCTACTCTCAGGGGCACTATTTTCTGAGCTGTAGTCCTTCTTCCGAAAGGCTCAGCCCTGTCAGAGCAAAGGAGAGAAAACGTGCAACTTGTTTAGGGAAACGGGACCAGACGGCAGCCGTCCACCCAACCTTCCGAGGGCCTCCCCAAGGTGACCAGAGGAAGGGCAGAGCGGTGGCTTGAGGAATGGCCCCTGCAGCCCGACATCCCTGAACAAGGGGGCCAGACTGAGTCTCCCGGGGTTTCTTCCCCGAGAACGGGCTGGGGCTGAGGGCAGCCTAGTGTGGGGGCTGTTGGGGGTGCTGCCCCAAGGAGATGCCTGGTACCTCCCGCCTCAGGTTCAGTTTCTCTGTCTCCAAGAATGCTCTTTGTGTTTGGGAACTTGCTTTCCCTCTGTATCTTTACATCCTTGGTGTCATAGATGCTCTTCGGTAGGTCACCAGCAAACCTAGGCCCCCCTTCAGAGCAGGTGCCACGTACATAGGACAGATAAAGTCCACATGACCGCTATGTCAGGAATGAATAAACAGCTACTGACCTCGGACAGGCAGTTGCTGAACCTCTGGGGATGGAAGTTTCCTTATCGTTGAGCAGGGAGTTGGACCAGATGGTTTCCAAAGCTGTGAACTCCAGAAGAGGCTTCCCTGATCTTTGTATTTAAGCCTCACTCTCTTTGGGTGAATGTAGTGTCTCGCTGCCCCCTTTTTACTGTTGTAGCTTAAAGCACATTAAATATTGTGCCTTAAAAAATCAAAGCGATAATAATCCTGGGTATGCTTTTGTAAACCACACATTTCCCTTCTCACACTTGGAATTTCTGGCTCTCTCCCACCCCCTTCAGTTGTCACTGTTCTGTAATAAATAGGTTTGAAGTAAAGAGAGTTGCTTATCCAAGCTCTTCAGTAAGTGTATTTGGGCCTTTAGAATAGTATTCTAATATCATCTATGAATATGTATGTGTATGATATATCCATATCTAAATATATATATAGATATATATACAGTGGGAATATTTCGTGTTTTTAATACGTAGACAGAAAATGTAGGATTTAGAGGCGCTTTCCAAAACTTCCTTACCTACACAAGGTAGAGGAGGGGCCCGAGGGAAAGGGCCATACAGCAAGTTTCTGCATAGAGGCCCAGTCTCCCGCCATCCCTGCGGCCAGCTCCGTGAGCTTGGTTTCTGCGTGTCTTCCATGAGAGTGATTTCCAGAGGTGCTTCTAGCTCTAACATTTCCGCTTCTGGCAGGCCAAGTCCGAAAGGAGCAAGTGTGTGCTCGGCATGAGCTCTGCAGTGAGTGACCCTCTCTTCCTCCAAGAGGAGAGAAAAGGGCAGGCCTTTCTGAAGGGAAGCTGTCAGAGACCCAGAGGGGACACCTACCAACTAAGGTGACAGGTGTGGGGATGGAAAGCAGAACAGTGGCGGGAGGATCCCACACAGCTGGTTTGTTCAGTGAATGACCGTGGAATCCGCGTGGCCGATGGCTTCGGTTCGTCTCGGGAAGATGCGGAGGCTAGAGCCCTCCGAATGTGGTGGGCGTTCATTCATTCGCAGGGACGGGCTGCTGTTCTGAGCCCTGGGGAACGGGAACGGATGAACGGGACAGATGCGAACGGGACAGATGAAAATCCCATAGGCCATCAAAACCTTCTCTGGGAACTTGATTCACTGGCAGAGTCTGTGATGGAAGGAACCAGAAAGGGACCTGGGACCTCACCGTGCCTCGCAGAGTTCTGTCCAAGGCGATGCCTCCTCTAGCCAGTGAAAGAGGTCTCGAGGGCTTGGCTCCACTGATGCTCCTGCCTCCCTCTGTTCTAGGCCTTTCAGTTCAAGAGCCAAGTCAAATTCAGGGGGACAGCCTGGGGTTTTGTGGCCATCTTCTCTGAGCGGTGGCAGTAAATGAGAATGGGGGTTTGGGGTGACCGACCTCATCACTCGAAGCCCAGACTCCACCGAGCTTCTTACCAAACGAGCTGACGAGTAGCGGTGGGAACACAACCACAGCTCAGCAGACAGAGGCAGCCAAACCTTGTCTTTCAGGTGTGTGTCCTGCTGATGCACAGCCCACGCTTATCAGACCGGGAGAACGCAAGGCAGAGCTCGGAGCCACAGCAGTTCTTTGGGAACAGGGAGGAGTTCTCAGTGTCCCTGAGAATTCTTTCAGTGGCTTTATGATACTTCTTTTCTCTATGTTTTATGCCCTCTGACTAGCCTTCCTATTTCCGACAAGTTCATAAGAGGGACACTGTGCTAAGTGCCAGGTACCATGCCGTGTGCTTTCCCGATCTTTGCGTGTGTGGTCCTCTCAGCAGCCCTGTGCGGCAGGTACCGGTGTGATCCCTGTTTTGAACAGGAGGAGGCTTGGGCTCAGGAACGCCGTGCCTGCACTCTCCAAGGGAGGCAGGTGCAGAGCCTGGTTCAGTGCAGGCAGCGCCACTCCAGAGTGAGGGACGTGCATCGTCGGCTTGCTTAGCCCTTGTCCCTCATGCCCACCTGCAGGGGTCCCCTGCCCTCCCCGCCCTGCCCAGACTCCAGGAGCTGCCCCGGTTCACTGGCTGGGTAGCACCTGGGAGTACGGGTCTTTATCCCCTATTTTGTTATCAGAGCTTTTTTTCAAAAGGCATCTCATGGAAAACCCCACCAAAAATATATATGCAAAGGAAAGCCACTGGCGTTGAACTTCTTATAGCGGCTCGAGCCCCGCCTGCCTGGCCTCTCCTGAGCCCCAGCCTGCAGGGGTCCATAAGACAGCATTTGAAGTCTATTGTGATGGGGAGGATATAGGATGGGAGCCAGACAAAGCAATTCCTGTTAACTGGGTGACCTTGGACAGGCCGCCTCTGTCTCTCCACCTGGTCTGCCTCATGGAGTGGTTGGTGTGAAATCACTGGCAGGAAGCACCTTCTTGCAGTTACCCCCAGAACACGGGTTCCTCATGGCATCATGCCCCGTTGCCCCCAGCTGGACGCGGTTCGTCCCTCCTAGGAGCCATCGAGTTCTGTTCTCCGGTGCCACAACATCTTCTGCCATGTGCTTCGGTTGTCTGAAGACTGTCTCAGCCCCTCTACCCGCCTCTCAGATCTTTTCAGGACCAGGGATGTGTCTTGTCAGCTCTGTATTCCCACGCCCCGAAATGAACCCATCATCACGGGCGCTGACCCCAGGAAGCTGAGCTGGGGTGCACTGGGAGGGACATTCCTAGAGGCCAGTGCTCCTGGGGCCAAATCCCAGCTCAGCCGTGCCCAGCCCTGAGACCCTGAACTTGTCACTTTTTTAAATGACGCGGGACTGGATAGGGTGTTCTTTTAGCCACTTACTCATTTGCAGCACGTGTGACTCAGCTCCTGGATTTTATGGTTACCGGCACAGAGAGCAAGAGATGGGTGTGTGACGATATCTGAGATCTCGATGTCCTGGTTGCTTAAGTTAAACTGAAAAAAGCGCACGGTTGTGTGAGTGAGTGTGTGTGTGTGTGTGTGTGTGTGTAAGTATTTAGGCAGTTGGTTCTGGGGACTTTGAAGGTTGATGGTAACGTGAAAAATTGAAAGCCATAGTGGAAAAAATCATGAATTTCAGAGTAAGACAGACCTGAGCTAGAATCTGGACTAACATTTACCGTCTGTGTAATGGTGGGCTAATTGCATGACCTTTCTGAGCCTCCCTGTCCTCTAAAATGAAGGTGATAGTTCTTGCCTCACTGTTACTATGAGGAGAGGAGATAGAGTTTCCTGGCACATGGTAAAGAAATAAAGAAAAGGTCGCTATTATTCTCAATAAAGTGTGGCTCCTTCTTAAGTTGAATGTTTCTTATGAAAAATGGGAAAACCGATTCAGTAAAATGCTTCCTGTCTTCGTTTCTTGCCCTGTCTCGGGGGACGTGAGCGCCGAGGTCAGCCTGTAGACATTGGCCCGTGATTGATCTTCAGCCTCTCATACTCTTGGAGGCAAGAATTGTCAGCCTGAAGATGATTACATGGCCAGGAGTCCCGAGGATATGGCTCTATAGATCTGGTTTACGTTCGCATAAGGCCCCAGTGTCAGATCCTCTGGAAACTCCGTGATACTCCAGGACCCTCTCTGAGGTCTCTGCCAGGGTCCATCCTGCTTTAGCTGCTTTGCCAATATGGGGTCCCACGAGTCCCCACTCCCAGGGCTCTCTGCATTCCTGTTTGCTCCTGACTTTGTGCCCCATGCTGATGTCCCAGACATGAAAAGCTGTGCTTTGCACAGGCGGGAGCTCTCTGGGAGCCTGTGTTGGTCCTCTGAGTTCTGTTTCCTGAGTCTGTGCAAGGGTCCTTTCAATGCCTTTTAAACCTCTACCCAGACGATCTAGAATTTTGAGGGATTGCTCTATTTCTAAAGCCCCTTAGGTGAGTTGCTGAGGTGATTTAGGAATAGTCACAGAAAGGGGAAACAGAAGCCTCGCCTTGGAGGCTGTCCAGCCCAAGTTGTAGCTTGATACTCTGCCATGGTATGCCATGGTGTGATTGGCCCCTCTGGGGTCAGTCTGCTTGGAATCAAGTTCCAGCTCTACCATTTGTTAGCTGTGTGACTTGGGCAGGTTACTTTGCCTCTCTGTGCTTTAGTTTCCTGATGCTTAAAATGGGTAGAGTGGTTTAGCCCATAAGGTGGTTGTAATGATTAAAAGAACTTGGGGCTCCTGGGTGGCTCAGTCAGTGAAGCATCCGACTCCCATCTCAGCTCAGGTCTTGATCTCAGGATCATGAGTTCAAGCCCCATGTTGAGCATGGAGACTACTTAAAAAAGAAGAAGAAGAAGAAAGTAGTTTGTACAATAATTACTTTGTAAAGTAGTTTGTACAATAATTAAACAAATTTTGCTCTAACAAGAAAAAAGTTAAGCTATCGAAAACCAGGCGATAAGCTACAGAGATTTGTAATGAAATCTTATGCAGGGACTGCCTGGGTGGCTCAGTCAGTTAAGCGTCTGCCATCTGCTCGGGTCATGATCCCAGGGTCCTGGGATCGAGCCCCATGATGGGCTCCCTGCTTGTGGGGAGCCTGCTTCTCCCTCTCCATCTGCTGCTCCCCCTACTTGTACTCACGGTCTTTCTCAAATAAATTAAATCTTTAAAATAAATAAATAAATAAAACAGAGTCGGAAGACGGCATGTGAGACCTTCCTCTTAGGTCCGTTGTTGTGGGGCCCACCCTCATCCCAGAGACGCAGTCGTTACCATCTTTCCAAAAAGAACCCTCTCTCTGTGATATGTGTATGTGAGTGCGTGTGTGCGAGTGTGCATGTGTGCACGCGTGCACAGGGGTCTTACCTGTGTGCACAGGTGTGGATATGAGCTCAAAACAAGGAGGTGCGAGGTGCCTGCCGTGGACAAAAAAATTTAGTATTACTTTCAGTAGTGGCACACCTTAACAATTTAGAATATTGTAGTCAGCCGAAAAGAAGACTAATAGATTTAAGTAGTATCTTTGTAATGGGGTTGAACATTTATGAAGTTGTAGTTGTAGGATTCGTCCAAATGAAAAGAGTATGATTTTTTTTCCCTCTCCTTATCTCCAATATATTTGCATAATGAGCTAGTACAGTAAAGCAGGGCTTCTCGCCAGTGACACTGGTCCCGTCGGAGGCTGGCTAATTGTCTGTGTTGGGGACCCCCTGTGCAGTGTGGGGCACCGAACAGCTTCCCAGACCTCTGTCCACTTGATGCCAGTAGCAGCCACCACCCTCAGTCATGACTGCCAGAACTGTCTCCAGCCACTGCCAGTGTTCCCTAAGGGACAAAAACCGCCCCCGGTTAAAAACGACTCCCATAACATAGAACACTCCCACATGTTATCGCATATCCTGTGCTTTTCTATATTTAAAGTTTTCTCTGCATGAACGTGAATGCGCGTGCACATACACACATAGCAGAATATCACACACGGCAGTGTGAAGAAAGTTTACTATTTCGGCTTCCACAGAGCTGGTCACCGGGCTAATTTCCCCATCACATTTGTATGCCAACCCTAATACAAGCTATCTTCTAGAAGCCCCGAAGCCGCAGTTTTTCCCACCTCAAACCAAAAAAGGGGAGAAGAGGCAAAAGAGAGCACATCCATAGACACAGATCATTTAGCTACATTTGGTTCCTGCCCTCCATGCAGAGGAGAGCCCCGCAGCCCCACACCCCATCCATCAGACAGAGATAATCCTGGGATGTCGCTGCTACTTGAAAAAAAAAAAAAAAAAGAATGTATTCGAACCAAAGAACCTAGATGTCATTCAATAGACAAGAGAGGATTAATTTTTCCCCTCTTTCTCAGAGAGGGCTTTTTATTCCCTTCCCTGATTATATTTTTGAATGCCCTTCAAGTAGCTGTTTTGCATGTTGATGGTGAATGCAGCAGGATTTAATGAACTGTGAGCTAAAGCAGAGAGGCTGAGCAGGAAAATAAATGAGTGACAGCAACTCACCTCCGTTCCTTGCACACATGTCCAGATGCCAGTGTCGGTTGGGTCCCGGGAGCGACACAGCCCAGCAGCCCTGCACACGGGAGCCTCATTAAGGAGGTTCCAGGCTTTTCTGCCATTGTTCTTTTCACTTTGGCTGTCTCCGGATGACCTCTAGTTGAGGAGGAAACACACCATTTGGGCTTCTGAGCCCTAGAGACAGTCAGTCCCTCTGAATGTCAGTGCCCCCTGGGCTTCTCGGGAATCATCGACGACTAATGATCCTAGAGGACTTCCTGTCTGAAAGTGCTTGTGTTCACCACACGGAGCCCTTGGGTCTGAGTGTCAGTGCAGTTGGATTTGTTTGCTGAGATTACATTTCTGTTGTTGTTACTGTTCGTCGTTTTTTTATGAGACTAGATTACTTAACCCGGAGAAGTACAAAATAATTAAAGGAAATTGTTCTCATCAAACATAGACTTTGTCGAGTCTGACAGCATTAATTAATAAGGCTTGGCAAAAGCATGGGAATATGTACAAACTTTATTTTGTTAGTAGGATTCTTTTTTACTTTTAATTTGATGAATGTACCCCAGTCCGGAATGAGCTCCTAGACTGGTATGTCTTTGGGGTTCCTTATGATCAGAAGCAGTGTCTGCCATTGTTTCTTCTGATAGCATCTTCCCATCATCCTGGTAAAGTGTGGATCATATGCTAGGTCCTCAGGAAATTCCTACAAATCCTACAGAGATCCCTATGGAAAGAAGCGACAGACCGATTAACAAACGGTTATACCTTAAGTCAAGCATTACATCTGCAAGAACCCACAAGTAGGACTGCGTTGTGCTCCAGTTCAAGTGTTTATATTTTGAACTTGCATCTGCCCAAGTTATAGTCAATGCTGGGTCTGGAACAGATCAGGTTGACCTGGTCCAACCCGGACTTTTCTTTTTGTTCTGCTAATGGGAAACAAAAATACCAATAACAACAATGATGATAAAGCTGACTCATGTGGTGAGCCCTCACACGTGCTAAGCTTTCCGTGTGTTAGCTAATCCTGTCACCACGTGGTCATATTCTCCCTGTCATACAGCCAAGAAAGGGAAATTCAGAGGGTTTAGGAAATCTGCTCCAGATCCGGCCGATATAAGTGGCAGAACCGGGATTCCAACCTCTGTCTGACTCAAGTCACTTTAACCATGGTCCAGGTGGAAAGTTTTGGGCCTGGAGCTCCCTGCAGCACTGTAGCTAGGCTTGGCTACAGAGAGGTCCTCGGGGTCCCCTCTGGGATCTACACAGGTGCTCTCGGGCAGCTGAGCAACCTGTCTCTTCCTCACCCACACTGCTGACCTGGTCTGCTCACTGGCAGAGGTGAGGAACTTGGGCACAGTCTCGGGCACAAGGAAAAAGGGAGGAATAAATCAGCCCTAGTGAATGTATTTGGAGCCTCAGCCCCGAACCCCTTTAAATATCGACAGGTAAAAAGAAGGGAGCTTCTTGTGGTGGTGGAGTGGGTACCATCAGCAGTACCTGTGCCTGTAGGTTCTCCTATATCTCCAACAAAAGAATGGATCCCTGAGGCCGACAGTCGGCGCTTTCCTCTACACCGATCGAAATTCCCTTTTTGCATGTTTCTGTAAATTAAGTAGAAATGCTAACAAACAGCAGATGTAACAGTTCAGCTCAAATTTAAAGCTAAATCAATAGGATCTTCATAACCTTAGGATTGTTGAATTCATCTTTAATTGAAAAAAAAGTCTACCTTATAATCTCATCAAAGCCTGTTTCTTTTTTTTTTTTTTTTTTTTTTGACAGAGATCACAAGTAGGCAG